GATGTGTTGGGGCGAGTCGACTACGGCCATCTTATACACATGCCCCCATCTCAGGAGATGGCATCGACGTCTAGTGCAGCGGCGGCTTCATCATCCCAGACGCAGCATGAGAGAGTGGTTCTTCAACCACGACCACGGCGTAGGCGTAGACATCAGCAGCAACATCTCCATGACCAAGATGATCAAGATGACCATGAGAACTTGTAGTTTGCTTTTTGTATTGCAGTATGTTGTAGGAACAATTTACAACATTTTACGTATGTTCTCTTTTAAAACTCCTATTATTTAAATAACTCCTATTATTTAAATATTCAAAAACCAATTCGAAAAAAACTCCTATTATTTAAATATTCTTATTAGATTATTGTATTATTATATTATAAAAATCTAAAGCGAAAGTCGCCCAACGGTTGGGCGACTTTCCCTGACCACGGTTAAACCCAGCAGTAGATCCGTAAATACTTTTAACCCAACATTATTTTCGTAATTAATTAATTAATTAGCATTAATTCGGAAAAAAACTCATACTTTTACATTTTTTTATCATTTAAAACTAGTAATTAAGTATACTACCCGGTTTGTGGATGTAGTTTTTACTACATCCACAAATAAGACTAAATAGATCCTATTTAGTTCTATTCCGTAAAATTCATTAGCCCTAATTCCCTAAATAGGATGAAAAATAGTCTTAAATGCAGGAAGCCTATATCATACCACTGTACAACCGGTGACATTTTTGTAATTTTAAGTGAAAATCAGTCTTCCATAAGTGAGCATCAGACGTATTCTATTTAGGGGGGGACCCGAGCTGGGCCTAGGCTCGGTTGGTTGTTTTTTGGAATGTTGGGCTCGGAACTGGCTTGGGTTGATACTAGGTTCGGACCAAACCGGGTCGGGTCGGACCAGGTTCTATGTAATTTTTTTTATTTCTAATTAACCCCTGACCCCCATTCCTCATCCCCACCCCCAACCCCCCCTCTCAAAAGAAAAAAAAAATTGAAAAAAATTGAACCGGGCCCATTCCGAACCGCTCGGCTCGGTTCATGAAAATCATGGTCCGGAATCGGCCCGCCAAAACCGCCCAAACCGGGCTAAAGCCCGGAACGGCCATCCGGGCCCGGTCTGGTCTGGGTCCGCACAGTAGCGGGCCGGTCCAGTTCCGGGCCGGTTCGGTCCGATTCCGGGCCGGTTCGGTCCGATTCCGGGCCGGTTCGGCCCGATTCTGGGCCGGTTCGGCCCGGTTGGGTCCATGCCTAATTCTATTGAGTATTAGGATTATAATAATGAGCATCACGATCTTTGCTTCACACTCTGTATTTTCTAATTCTCTTTCTTTTCTTATTTTTTTCTTTCATAAAAACTTATTAAATTATATCTACAATCAACTCCTATGAATTTCAATATGCGAGTTTAATGTAATATGATAATTTTGAAATATGCATTGATATGAAATTTTACAAATGAGCATAAAATTAGTATCAAATGAGTATATGTAACTTACAAAATGCGCATTGATATGAAAATCATAAGGTTTGTTTATTTAACATCACAACATTTTCATTGAACATCAAATCTCTTCAATTGAGATGAAAATCGTGATTTTAGTTAAATAAGCATTAAGCATTAGACCTATTCTGATGAATATTAGGAGTTTAAAATTGAGCATCGTGACCTCAGTTTCATATCTTCTAATTTATTTTCATTTTATTATTTTTTATTTAATAAAAAATTACTAAATTATACTCCCTTCGTTCTCTAATAGATGGGAGTATAGCTTTTGGCACAAGATTTAAGAAGGAATTAATAGAGGTAGGATAAAAGGTGTAGTGGGTTGTGTGTAAAGGTAAAAGTATGAAAGAGAATGAAAAAGTAGGAAAAAGAATGAGGGTAAATGAGTATATTTATTGAAAAAACTTACCAAAAGTGGAAAGGGAGAACTAATAGAGAACATCCCAAAACGGAGGGAGTGTCTATAATCAATTATTATGAATTCAAATATGAGAATCAAATTTAATATTGTACTTCTGAAATATGCATTAATAAGAAAACCTAAAGTTCTATTAGTTGAGTATAAATGCATTTTCATTGAGCATTATGTTTCACCTATTGATTACTAAAAACCTGCAATTGAGTATTGTGATCTCTGCCATCATGTCTTTTTTTGAAAGGAAACTAGCATTTTATATTAAATCAACTCTCGATTTATAACTGAGGAACACAACAAACGAACAACAATAACCAAAAGTTCTAACTTCCCTCTAACCAACATTAACCATAAATCCACCGGCCTCCTCACGTCTTGATCAGACATAGAATAGTCCACCCAAAAAAGAGCGAGACTAATCGCTCAACATGTGAGAGCTTCGAGGCTATTAGCGGTTGAATCAGCCTCATTGCCTCCAAACAGAAATCTAGCAACTAAAATGAACCAAACTACACACCTACTACTCTTATTGTTAGACATAATAAAAATCAAATAAGAATTAGAAAGCAGAGAATAGCAGGAGTAAAAAATTCTCAAGTGATGGACCAGTTGAATCCACCCTTCAAGCTTCGTCTTCCAAACCCTAGTCACACAGTTCCTTCGTGGCGGTGGTTCTGGAGGGGGGTGAATCATCAACACTCCAGACTCTTCCTCCATCACATGCATCGGGAATTCTCCATGCCCCATCATCAGTCTATCCATCGCTAGATTATCTCTGCCTGATCTCCGAAGCAGTTGATTGGAGCCCAAGATCGCCCCTTTCACCGGACCCCAAGCCGCCCGTTTCCACCCAGATCAAATACCACTGGTGCAGCTTCCATCTCTGTCACCAATAGAACCAAAATTGTCACACCAAGTGATGGAGTATATAGCCCAGGGACCCCCCGGCCCACATACTTCCACTATTAAATTCAGGCCCAACAGGTCCAAAACGGGCCAAGCCCAGCAGAATGAAGATCTAAACAGCCCACGATGCATGAAGGGGTGCCTTCGGCCCCATGGCCGAAGGCTACAAGTGACAAAATTGGGTTCACCAACATCACGGGAAAATAAGGCTTGAAAACCAAGCCTTCGGCAATTGGAACCCTCAGCACTATGAGGCCCTCGGTACGCAGAGCCTTCAGACTGTCATCTACAGCCGAAGGCATCCTCCTCGATAGTTACTCCCGTTCACATGCGCTGGATCACCATACCAAGTACAAACGTCGCATCCAATCACCGCATTTAATGCGGCCACAAGCGAGTGCCAGTGCCACCCCGGTTGAGGTGACCCCTGACCACCAGAATGCTGACACGTGTCTCTATCTAGCATTTATTGCTCCTATAAATAGCTCCCCCTTTCCCCTTTGTAACATACAACTTCAATACACATTCCACATTCGAACTATTTATCTTTCTTACTTATTTGCTCTTACTTCTCTCTAAGTTACTCCGAATGCTTCCCACGCCTATCCAGCCTATGAAGCTTCTACATAAGTGTCGATAGGCCGTGGAATGACCTGCTCAAACCCAAACTGTCGCAAGACTCGATCAGGCAAATGAAACTCAACAATCTTCATTACAACAATACAACCAACCCGGACAAACACTTCATTACAACATTACAACATCTGCTAATATATCCTACTTCCCAGCAAGACGATAACAAACAACCCGAACCACACTACATTCCAGGAGAAAGCTCCATTGCCTTTCTTTGACATCTTCAGTTCCTCTTCCATATTTTGGACTTTCAAAAGACCAATTCCACGAACACAACACTTGATTTCAACTTGCATCTCTAATTCTTTCATTCGGAAATTCTCTTCAACACTGGTAATCTTCTGAAGCAATGTCTCTATTCGTCTCAGGCAAGTGCCACATTGTTCATCCTCAACCCATTCAAAGAAATTGCACTTTTGACCACTCAAGAAACGACCACACCCATAAAATCTTTTCCCCTTGTTTTTGTCTGTTGTAGCAATCCACACTGGTGCTTGGAGTCCACAGTCACACCACCTCTTAATTCGCCTTATTGCGTCCATCGACCAGGACTCAGCACTCGAATAACTCATCGCACCTTAATTTTTTTAGCATTAATAAAGTTTAATACGCGTGGATTTAAATGAAGATTTCTTTGTTATCTCACCTTAAATTTTTTAGCATTAATAAAGTTCAAAAATTTAACAAACTTCAATTCATACCTCCAAATCTACATTACATAACAAAGTTCAAAAAAAATTATATAACAATGAATTCAACATTAACACACAACACTTCATACATATTCACATTACACAACAAATCAATTCACAAATGAATTCCTAATTCACAAATTCCAAATTTCTATATTCTAAACCCTAAAATGAAAAATGAGATAAATTGGAGATATTTGTTTACCTAGAGTGTTGAAGAAGATGAAAGGAAAGTAGTATTGACAAGATATGGAGACCTTGTCGTCGCTCGCTGGAGATTAACCTTCGCCGGAGTCAGGGGGAGGTGTGTCGCCGCACTTCGCCGAAGTAGGGGGAGCTACAGAGGGTTTGGGAGTTTTGGGGATTTGGGGGAAATGTTGCGTTCTGCGAACCCGACTTATGTTTAAGGGGTGAGTCGCCCAATGGTTGGGCGACTTATAAGTCGCCAAACCGTTTGGCGACTTATAAGTCACCCAACCGTTGGGCGACTTACCCTGACCACGGTTAAACCCAGCAGTAGATCCATAAATACTTTTAACCCAACATTATTTACATAATTAATTAATTAATTAGCATTAATTCGAAAAAAACTCTAAAAGTATCCACACTTTTATCTATTTACTTGTCTCACTTTCTTTTTTGGGGCGCCTCAACTATCAAAATAATTGTCTCATTTCCCTTTTTGGAAAGAAACTGACTCAAACAACAGCTACAATACCACTTCAGTAACCAAAACCTCTTACTTTTCATATAATCTAGTTATCTAGAGTAATTATCTTAAACTACGTAAAAAAGCAAACGGGTCAAATAATAGATAGAGGGGATAAATAATAGTATATGAACACAAGTACACAACACAGCATCCCCAACAATGCCATTATACGTACGGCCGGCAGGAGGGTTTATGACTTGATAAACATCATCTTATGAATATTTTCAGTGCATTTGAGGAGTATATGTAAAAATAGCAAGATCATATCAGAGTCTTGATATCAACCTTAGGACTGAAACAAAGAAATACACATAGTAGCACTACAGCCAACAGGCTGATACATTATGAGTTGCAAAAAAAAAAAGAGAACAAACTACAAAATCATTTAGCTGTTCAGGGAAAAAAGATTGGGTTTAATTATGAGACATTGGTGAAGGACACTCATTTGGACATGAGCTAGTAAGGCAAACAAGTCAACCTTATTGTCACTGACAGATTTGAGCAGTGATTCCCTATGAATATAATGGAATCAAATGTGATGATAGTGACCGAGTGACGCTCACAGCGGTCCAGGAAAGGTGCCGTTCTCCCTTTGCTCATTCCATCTATCCACCTGCATTGTAATACTAAACTCAGAATTGAGGTGGGGTAATAGTGTCACTGCAGAGTGATGCCAACTATGTGATACTAAATATGCCATGTATGTGCTTTCCCCAAACAAGATAATCACAAGATTAAGAAGAGGAAGAATTGAAGAAGACTAGTAGAAGATTCTCTAAACCATAACTAGCGCATTGAACCCGCTTGGACATGGATGTCCATGTTGGCAGTAAGAAAAGGTCCAAAAAGCACATTGTTTAGGAAAGCAGAAAAAATAGGGCCATTGGGCATTATACTTGTCACGGCGGTAAGTCGAGTCGCGGCGCCAGCCGACCGCCATATCGCCTAGGCGATAAGGCGCCCCGCCTATGCGACAATTAGGCAACTAGTCACCTATACATGAATATTATATATATATATATATATATATATATATATATATATATATAGAATAAAGATCAAACGAGAACAATGTTTAACGTGAGAACACCACATTTACCCCAACGTGTTGCACAACGAAGCTTGTATATTGCACATTTTCATATTTTCACAATATTTACCAAAATGCCACCGTGTTTTTTTTACTCCAGTGGGGTCTGGGGGAGGGGGGCTGGGGGGCCTGGAGTAATCAGGGCTGAAACTCACTGCATTGAGTTTCAAACCCTTTATGTGCCTAGCGGATTTCGAACTCGAGACCTCTCTCTAGGCACGGTAACCTCGCCACCGTGTTATTTAATATAGGCATAATTCGAGCAAATTGAAAATGTGCAATAGAATAGCTCCATTGTGCACCACGTTGATTTGATTTAAATGTGACTGTTCTCACGTTCTCACGTTAAGCATCGTTCTCACTAGAACCGCACCATATATATATATATATATATATACACACACACACACACACACACACACACACGGAGTATATAATCATATATATATAATTATACTATGCAAAAAATGTATATCATACGTAGTATATATTAGTATGTACTAGTTTTTATGATTATTTCAATAGTTTATTATTTTATAATTTATAACATATAATAAAATAGAGTCTCACGGGCTGGGAATACACATATATTGATAGATATATATAACTACACCATTTCAATATATATATACACACACAATTTAATTAATTAAAATAAGAAAAAAATGAAGCCAAGAAGAAGAGATCGGGGACTGGGAACTGGGAAGTCGTCTGCTACTCTGCTTCCGCGAGCGAGGGAATGAAGAAGGGTGATACATGCGAGTTCGTCTTCTTCATGGAGTTGTTCGTCTGCTTCCTGCGAGTTCATCTTCTGCGAGCGAGGGACTTGGTTTGGCTAAACAACTTTGGGCAACGAATCGTCGGTAAGGTAGATTACTATGGGCTTGCTTTTAATTAAACACTAAATCTATTTTTATTTGGGTTTTGTGCCTGCGCCATAGCGGTCCGACTTTCCAAAGAGGTGAGGACTTCATTGCCAAAACAGCACCTAGACGACGCCTGGACGACGCCGTTCACGACTACTCTTCATCTGGCGAGGCGAGTGAAGCTGGCGGGCAGTCCCCAGTGCCAGGACGCCTAGTTGGTGCCTAGGCGACGCCATGACAAGCATAGGCATACCCCATTTGGCAAGTGGAACTGGTTTACAGATTATATTACGACAGAACAAGATTACAAAATACACACATGTGTGTGCATGTGTGTAACTATACAAGTAATAATAATAAAATAATAATGATCAGAGAATGAACAGACAAAAGGGTAAAAGTATTACCCATTCGCCTGGGCAAAGGGAGCGATAATACTTTGCGAACTTGTCACACTCTGGTGCACTGTCAACCTTGGCAGCAATGCACCTGAAAGGAAAAATAAGATTCATCACTACTAGGGCAGAAATATATGTGAAGCAAAGGTAGAAATGGGAAACAATACCAGCACTTCTGGGTTTTGACTCACCTGTGATATTCAACATATCGGGTAAAGCAGTGCCTGCTCTGGTTTGTAGTTGGGAACCGGAAATCTGCAGGAGCCGTCTCAAGCTGATACAATTTGTGACACAATAATGAATGAATAAACATAAGAAAAAGAGACACACGGCGTGAGGAAAAGAGAGACAAATGGTGACATTATATCACCCGATATATTGATCTACGGTACCAAATATAGGAAATGAATGATTCACCTAAAGCGGCTACTATCCGAGACTTTACCTTAATCTCTGGGGGCTCGTCTTCACTAGCATCTTGACCACCATCTGTGCTATCATCTGCTGCATCTTGATTGCTTTCTTCGCTTGCAGCTGGGTTGTTGTTACCATTTTCAACTTCTTCACTGCTTACAGCATCACTAGAGATCACACTACTTTCCTCAGCAGTAGCAGATGGGGTGACAGGGCTGCTCTCAACAACAGGGACTATATCTTCTTTTGGTGCAACTTCCTCAGGCAGAGTCTTGACCACATCTGCTGCTGGCTCCGTTCCCGCATTCAATTTCTCTTCATGCTCCATCAGCAAATATTGCTGTGAACAAAAGAGTGTTAGATGTTTTGGATGCAGCAAGAAGCCACAAAATAAGCGGGGTGCAAGAGAATATCTATGTAAAAAGAACAAGAAGGGATCACTATTTTCTTTGAACATGCTAACTATATGTAATCATCGCCTAATTTCATAGAAATGGATGTGAAGCTAAAGAAAAAGAGGGTGGATTGCTCTTATATAATATATGACAAACTACCTCTGCTCTGTCGCAACAAAATGTTGTTTGGAAGGATGTTTTTACTTGAACTGATTTCATACCTAGACCATAACAAACTTAAACAGGCTAGACCATACTTAAACAGGCCACACAAGACTTCGAAAATTGTAAAATACACAAAGGCTAAAAGTATTACCCATAGATTACTTGAGAAGTCTAAAATAAAATACTTGAGAAGGCTAAAAGTAAAAGTATACACAAAGGCTAAAATACACAAAGGCTAAAATACATCTACCAGGCCACAGTTTAGACCAAACCTAAACAGACCAGACCATAAAATTTCAGTCCAATTAAAAACATCTTAATACTACATTGCTTACTTGAGAAGTCTGAGACACAAAAGGTAAAACTGTATAAGGATCAAACTTGTTGTCCAAAATACCAAACCATGATCAGTCTCCAAAAGGAGATGAGCACCATTGTCGGTACCCGGTAGTGACATAAACCTTATGTTACAAATTAGGAAAACATAACAGGCTTACAGCCTGTTTCAGGAAAAGAGTGGGGATTTTTTTCGGATACTGATGCATACAAGGAGAGGCTACAAGTCCAATAAAAATATGCAATACTAGTGTACAGTAAGTAAAGATCTAACTACTACAGCAATTAAATCAATAATACTAAGATATTTTGCCACCAAATACACTGAGCAAAAAAACATAATATGTATCTCGCAGTGTAGGTGGAAGCCTTTGCGGCACTGGGTAATGTTGTTGTAGTATGTATCTCTCACTGTCTAAATTGATAGAAAATGAATAAATGATAAAAATATTCTTTCACCAAGTCACCACTAAAGAATCTATAATGATAACTAACAACAACAACAACAACAACAACAACATTACCCCAACGTCGCAAAGGCTCTCACCTATGGTGGGATAAGGGGGGTCGGATGTAGGCAGCCTTAGCCCTGTACTCATGAATCTATAAAAATAACTATTCAACAGAAAACTCACCAAATATTCATTGTTTCCTTTATTTCTATATTCCCAATTTAATAAAAAGGGCAGTCCCATGCACATTAGCGTCCATGCAAGGCAACGATCCGGGGAAGGGTCCCACCAGGCCACCATAAGATTGTATAAGAAGCAAGTCATCCCTTATCATTTTGACAAGAGGCTGCTCTCAAAGCTTGACTGCTAAGTGCTAACTGCTAAGTCACAGAATAACATCATAACCGATGCGCCAAGTCTCCCTTTCATCTTCATTATACATGGACTCATATGATATGGTTCCACAGCCAGAATATTGTTTCAAACTTTCCCATTATAATACAATATCTTCAAGAAGATGAAATAGGTACTCGAGAAGATGCAAAAGCCAATCAATGAGTTGCAAAGCTATTGCAACGCCATAGAAGAGAACACAATGAGAACCAACACCACGCCTCCACCGCCAATTTCAACTACAACCTTGCTCTCAACAGTTTAACATCCCAACCTAGTTCCTAACTTACGGATTCCTCCCATGGTTTTCAAAGGTGTTCAAGTCGCCCGCCTCTGAGGCACAAAGGCGTCGCTAAAACGCCTATAAGGCTTACGCCTTGCCCCAAGTAATAAGGCTTACGCCTTCACTTTGCGGAGGCACTGAAGCATGGAGGCGAAGGACGGTGGGCTCAAGGCGTTGGCAATGCGTACGCTTCAATTTCACTGCAAGTTGGGCTGATTTTATAAAAGCCTAGGCCTGGAATTTAATTTTTCTTAAAAAATAAATCCCCCCTAAAATCTAGAATACGAAATACCTGTTGGTAAACAATTGAGACTTCACTTCATTAGTAAGTCATCTTTGTGGAAGTCATCGGTTCTCAAACGCCTTCCACTCTTCCCAGTTCCTACGAGATTCAAGACAAGACTCAAGGGGTGGTGTTGGCAATTCCGAAGTTCCAAACAGAGACTTCAGGAGCGGCTCACTCCAAGTAATTATCTCACCGGATTTACTTTAGCTTTTTGTGTTTTAAATTTTTATTATTTAAAATTACAGGGTTTAAACATTTTAATTTTTTTAGTACCATTCACGACTACAGTCTTACAGTTTGAATACATCGTATAGAGTTATATGATACGGAGTATAGTTTAACTATGCTCCAGTTTGCACTGCAGTTTATAGTTATTATTAAAATTTATCATTTACCTTAATAATTTATTAGTTTACTTAATCACAGTTTAATTAAAAATATTGTACTCCCTCCGTCCCAAAAAGGTTGGCCAATTTCCTTTTCTGGATGTCCCAAAAAGATTTTCCATTTCCATTTAAAGTAAGGAATTTCATTTTCATTTACCCCAGTGCCGCAAAGGCTCCCACCTACGGTGGGGTAAGGGGGGGTCGGATGTACGCAGTCTTACCCCTGTACTAAAAGCACAGAGAGACTGTTTCCGGATGACCCATAGTGAAAATCCCGTCCAAAATTGCATGGACTGACTGCTGCTTCATAACAAAGAAGCGCAGACAGTTTAGTGAGCCATTTTGCTTTATTCCATCATAATCTCAAGCCAAAAAATAATGAATCTTTGGCTCCATTGCAAATGATGGAAAGATTTAAAGTAAGGAATATGTGGCTAAAATTAATTCTCTCTCCTCAGCACAAATTTCAACCACACAATTTTTACTTTAATAATCCACGTGAAAGTCAACTTTGGCCAACCTTTTCGGGACGGAGGGAGTAGTTTACTTTAGTGAGTTCGAATAATATTATTACATTCTTAAAGTTGATTATCAATAATTTGGTTATTTAGTTTGACTAGTTTACTTAAATTTTAGTGTTTTATGTTTTTTTGACTTTGGTATTTGTTTAATGTTATTTCGAGTTTCGACTTGAATATTGTATTGTTGTGTTCTCTTTATTACTTGTGAATTTGTTAAGTTGAACTATTATAATGGCTTACTTAAGTGTCTGCGCTTCTTTGTTAGTTCACTATTTTTTGGCTTGGGAATGTGATGGAATAAAGCAAACTAGCTCACTAAACTATTTGCGCTTCTTTGTAATGAAGCAACGGTCGGTTCATGCAGTTTTGGACGCGATTTTCACCATGGATCATCCGGAAACAATCTCTCTGTGCTTTAGTATAGGGGTAAGGCTGCTTACATCCGATCCCCCTTACCTCACCGTAGGTGGGAGCCTTTATGATGATGATGATGATGGTGATGATGATGATTAACTATTACAATGAATTATCTATATTATGTTTTGCCAACAATTTAACCATAAATTTTGGATGCCTCGGGGCTACTACTGGCTTGGGGCCCAATTTTGCCTTTCAAAACTTTGATTACTCCCATTCTTTCAACTCAAGCAAGCTATGCACCTGCCAACAGCGAAACTGTCTTCAGCACATAATTCCGAAAACACTCACCATGTGTTCAATTCTGCAGCAGTTCCTTGATAGAGGCAGAATAAATCACGGAGGACCAGCAAAATAAAGAGTCAACCAAGTACATATTTCAGTGCACAGATTGTAAATAAGGGCTTTCTTTAACATACAATGAATGTATTGAAAGATTAATAGAACATGAGATTCCTTAGAGTTGGAGAGTGCTAGGCAGTTGGGCAAGTTATCTTGTTGGAGAATGCCTTCTGGTACTCATGTTCTTTTATTTCTTCTACATGTATGTTTCTTCATTTTCTTTCAATTTTGCAAAAGATCAGATCCTTCATTAATTATTTCTCGGTGGGAGAAAGTGCTCCAAGCTTGGAGGTCGCAAAGGGGAGGACGTCTCCGACGAGCTGTGTTGAAGAAGGGGAGGCAGGGGAACAAAAGAGGAGAGAAGAAAAGGGGGAAAAGAGAAAAAGGGGAAAGTAACCATAGTCACATGGATCGCAGTACGCTTCGGTACGCGGTACGAAAACGGGAACGCGGATCGCCAAAATTAGAAATCCAATACGTAGGGGGGTAGGCTTCTTCGGTACGCGATTTCGGTACGCGGTATGTTGTACCCATTGTATATGGTACGGTGAACCATAAACATATTGAATTTACCAACTATAAATATAATACAAGTATAATATTAAACAATTAACTTCAATAACTTCAATAACATTAAACAAACTTGAATAAGGCCTTAAATAGGCGTGAATGTCTGGAAGGTTAAGTGTGATAAACGGCGAAGAGTTAAGGCGTAAATGAAGAGTCCGGTCGTTTAGGTATTAGAGGTACGAAGCTTCTGGAACCGCGAAGAGTTCAACCGGCGAAGAGTTAAGGCGTGAATGAAGAGTCGGGTCGTTTAGGTATTTGAGGTACGAACTACGAAACTCCTGGAACGGCGAAGAGTTCAACCGGGGCGTTTGGACTGCCGGTTCGTTGGACTCTTGCAGGAACGACGAACGGGAAGAAGGCGACGCGGCGTACCCACCGGAAGAAGTTCACGAACTTCCATCTGGATCCGCCGTACCGGAATCGCGAACCTTCGGCGTTCCGAACGCGATTGTACCGCGATTTGGATCGCGCGTACCGGAACGCAAATCGCAGGTAAGTCTGTGATCCCTGTACCTATGAAAGTAACACCTGGACTGCCATGTCAGCAGGGTCACCGGTTAACCGGGTAGGCAGGTATTCCCCTTACTTTTTGTTGAACTGTTAATAGTAAAAAACAGTAATCCAATTTACGTTGCGTCTGATAGAAAAAAAATCAACAACTTCAGTTTAATAGTAAAAAGCTTAAACATTTTGATAAACTTTCTAATGAATTTAAAAAATTAAGAAAAAAATGAAAGATGAAAAGGGAAAAACATAATGACATACCTGCAAGGGAGCAGAAGACAAGGGAAGCATAGAGACAAGTGTACGAATAAAGAAAAGAGTTTGATGGAGTCTGGTAAGCTTACCTCATCAGTATATAGAGGTATGAAATTTCTGGAACTATGATATTAAGTGCCAAAAGTCATCCACAAACTAATTGATAACTATGCAAGAGGCACCAGAGGTTTCAAAAATTAATCGGCCGTCTCCATGATGCTCAAAAAGCGGTAAAAAGCGACCCATGTAACACGCCTATAGGTTTCTACCGTGCCTGGGGTTTGTGATGCTCGCGCCTCGTGGTAGGTTGTCAAAAATCCTATAGTTTTTGATAACTCTACCACTAATTCCAAGATCAGCTCTGAGCTCTCCACCTCTAATTTTGGCGCCTCCACCACTGACACCCTCTATCACCGCCACTGCTACCTCGGTCACAAACCCCTACAAAATCCATAGCTACCACCACCAATGTGAAGGTTACTACAGTCATCACCACCCCATCTAAACTTCAGTGCATCTTACTGATCACCTCCACACCGAATCACATATTATAAGGCTGAACTCTCAACCCTCCACATTTCAGCTTTAAGTAAGAATGTGGAACCAATGAAAATCAGAGTTACTATTATGCTCAACGAAAACATTTCAAGATGAGCATCTTGATTCATCATCATCATTAGCCCAGTGCCGCAAAGGCTCCCACCTATGTAGGGTAAGGGGGTCGGATGAGCGTCTTGATTATAAGTAATAAATGTAGTTCTCCAACATTTTGGATTATTTTTGTTATGGGGTAAACATCCTAACCTGTTTTCAATAAAGCGGTTATTTCATGGTCTGTGGACCAGCTTACAGTCAATGTTTAGAAAGGCTCTAGGAACAAGGCTACGTGGCCTATTGGGAGGCAGGCATGCTTAGCCTCTATGTGTCCATGGTCCCAGAAAATATAATATTTGTTTACCAATACTTTATAATTATGTGAACCTTTTCTTACTTGTATTGTTTCTAATGTCTCTTTGGGACTAAGGCTTGGATGTTGTTGTTGTATTGTTTTTAATGTCTGAGTTCAAAACATGTAATTACTTTTTTATTGTATGTGTGAGCATTTTACGCCTCATTTGGAATGAGGCGTACATGCAATATGCAATATAAAACGATTGCCTCAGTTACGCAATAAGCAATTTCAAACCTTGGTTAAGGCCAGTCATACACCCACTGTAAATAGATTCCATTTACGCGAAACTTAACCCGGTCCCATTATGTTTGTAGGACAACGGAAGCGAAAGAAAAGAGAGAGAAATTGTAAACCAATAATGCATTAGACCGAAAGTTGTATGATACAGGATCCATACACTAAGGATAGCTTACCTTGAGCATAGCAAGCCACAGGTGCAGTGGATAGAAATCCTACAGTCCTGGGATGGGAACAAAACAATTGATGGTTATACTTTTCCCTCTGATCCTACCTCAACCTAAATTATTCACAAAGCACTCTTGAGACATGGAACATTTTTGTAAGACTTCATCAATCCCAATTATTGTATTCATAGTAACAAATACTCCCTCCGTCCCCCTAACTTTGTCGGTTTGTCCTGTTTTACCATTTTCATCCGTCCGATTAAGTTTGTCTCATACCATATTTGATAATATTTGGGTGGTTACAATCATTCTTACTTTATTCACACTTTATCAATTCAAATATTCAATATCAACCACACAATTCCACTTCTTAAAAGTTGTGTCACACCCCTTTGTTCCAAACATAGTGAGACGGAGGTAGTATGATCTCTGGTTCTTATCACATTCTTAACTCCAAGTCTCCAAAGCCTAAAAATGTAAGGCAATTTCAAACCCATCTTTAAAATTAATATACACAGCACTAAGCTCAAAATGCCTCATTCTCGCACGCTTAAACCAAACAAACTCAATAGCATGAAGTCGGTAGATTACTTTAAAGTTTTAAGTTTGAAGATCAAATCTTGGATTTAAAACTGAACGTTCTACCTGATCGTTTCAGTCTTATTTTAAATACAGGACACTAATGTCAAATGCCCCTTTCTCGCCCACTTAAATAAAAACAACACTCAATAACACATGTTAAATTAGGAGCTAAGTTTGGACTTCAGATAAGAAGATCAAAAGTGTAAATTTACTATGGAAAGTTGAGTCTTATCCAGGTTGATAGTGGACCAATAAGAAGCTTCTCGAAAAACACAAAAATTACTAGAACCCCAATGGAGAAGGCATTTGGATCTATAACCTCCATCCTCTCGTGCGATTAAAATCCTACATCATCTGTCCCATATACAGGAATTTTTTTGCAGTTGATATTGGTTTTTATTTCTTTCCATTCTAAATAAATCTCTTATAAAACGACGAACTCTTATATTCTTTAATTCCCAGAATGAAACGACAAGTTTAATTAGGGAGTTAGGACCGAGAGAGTCATGTCCAGGTAAGAAGCAAAACAGTATAAATAATTAAACACTATTCATTTGTTACCTAACCTAAGATGATTGTCTCGCTAACAAAAATAGAGCGAATAAAACGACGAACTCTTATATTCTTTAATTCCCAGAATGAAACGACAAGTTTAATTAGGGAGTTAGGACCGAGAGAGTCATGTCCAGGTAAGAAGCAAAACAGTATAAATAATTAAACACTATTCATTTGTTACCTAACCTAAGATGATTGTCTCGCTAACAAAAATAGAGCGAATAAAAAACACCCAAAATGCAACCAAGCAATCCTGATAAATAGTGCAGTGACCAGTTCTGCAAAAATGATTCCGCACGTGGACTGTGGAAAGCACATTTTATAAATGATCACAAAGTAAACAGCGTGAGTACATATGGCGATATAGATAGAAAGAAACATACGAAATGACATACATACCTACGTACATATATACAAAGACGTAACGGCAAATAGTCTTACCTCAGACAACGAAGGGTAGCTTTCGGTACCGACGGCGGCCATCGATTCAGTCAACGGCGGATGGCGCACGGTGCAAGAGAGGAGATCTGAGGAATTGAGCAGCTCAACTATGGCGGTTGTGGAATGTGAATCGAAGCACTCGCGTTCATCGATAAAGAATATGGGCCTAAAGACCGAAATTATCACTATTCCGTTATTGGACTAAAGTTTTCCTGGGCGGGGCCGGGCCGGGCCCGCCTCCGGCAGAAAATTTATAAAAAACTTCCCGAACCCGTTTTTGTACAGGTCACTACAGTGTACGCCACTTTCATGGTCCCATGCCACTCGCGCTTTACTTGATTTAACTAAAGAAAAGGGAAAAGGGTCAGATACGCTCTCGAACTTAAATAAAAAGGTCAAATAAGCCTTTATATAGGAGGTTCTGTACGGACGTCGTCATTTGAGGCAGTTCCCGGTGGAATGTTTTGATTAAATTTTTTGACCATCTTATTCATTAAGTCTAGTTTACTCATACCAAATTCCAGCTAAAACTTCAATCGGGAAGACATTCAAATGAATTCTTGAAGATAATTGTGCACTTAAAAGCGCAGTTATCTTCAAGAATTCAATTCATACCCGCACGGGTAGCTCAGTTGGTCGAGTGATGGGGGATTTGGAACAATGTACCAAGGTTTGAATCCCCGCAGCGACCGGGTGGAGGTCACAGAACCTGAAATAAGGCTGGGTCTCTGGTGTGCACGGGTGTATGGGTCTACTGCCATTCTGCTGACACTAGTACAAAAAAAGCTTTTTACATCTCCTTTTCTACATGTGTTATTTTAAAACACATGTAGAATACTAACATGGGGTCATTTTTATAATTTTTATAAATGTTTTTACATAGGTTGCAGTTATAACCCATGTGAAACACCAAAACGGGTGTTTTGGAACAATCTTCAAGAATTCATTTGAATGCCTTTTCGATTGAATTGTTAGCTGAAATTTGGTATGAGTAAACTAGACTTAATGAATAAGATGCTCAAAAAATTTCATAAAAAAAAACCATCGCGAACTGCCCCAAATGACGATGAATGGACAGAGCCTCCTATATAAGAGCTTATTTGACCTTTTTATGTAAGTTCAAGTGTCTATTTGACCCTTTTCCACAAAGAAAATGGAAACATATTCATGTACAACACATTTATGGACAATAATTTCACAACAATTCTTGATGTGCACAAAATTTGTGTTCAAATTGTATGCTGCAGTTTGCTTGTGTACACAGGTATTTTGACATAAAATTCTCCCCTTTTCATACAAATTGTCTGTGTACACAGATAACTAGGAGGTTGTGTACACTTTGTGTATTAATTTGGTGTACATCTAGTATTTTTGTATTTTTTATATTATGGACTAAAAAAATACCTGGACAAAAAGATAGTTTAGAATATCATGCAAAACGATCGAATATTATGTGATTGTGTTGTGTTTATAAAGTATTACTCAAATGGTTATATAGTTTATTTGCTATATTCAAACCAAGGAAACAACAACAATAACATTGACGGGAGAAAACTGGAGAGCTCGGCGTGAGGGTTTCGTTCGGCGTTTGATGGCTGATTAGGTGGGTGTGGAGGGGGGCCTCCCCCTCCGCCGGTGAATAAGGTGTGGGGTTCTAAATCCTTTGCTTCGGTGGTTGTGGGGGCTGATCCTCCTCTATCTACAAAGGTGTCATCGAGGTTCAAATGTATGACTTCAATTGTATTTCCGGAAGAAGAGGTCCAATTACTGGTTGCAAAACATAAACGGGCTCTTCTTGGTTATTTCTTACATGGTAGACCGCCCATGGCCTCTCTTCGAAAAGCTTTTGAATGAATCGGTTTTAAAGGAGCCTTTTAATTGGGGATTTTGGAAAGGAAACACATTTTAATTTGATGCGAGTTAGAGGAGGATTACATTCGTTGTTGGAATCGTCAAACTTGGGACATTTTTGGAAATGTGATGTGGGTTACTAAATGGAAGCCGGATTTTCGGCCTTATGTTAAGTCCTCCATTGTCCCGATTTGGTTGAATTTTGAGAACCTCCCTATACATTTACATGACAAGCGGGCGCTCTTTGATATAGCTGGCCTAATATGGAGGCCTTTAAAGTTAGATGTTGCTAGAGCATCGCTAGCCATACCTTCTGTGGCTAGGGTTTTGGTAGAGGTGGATTTATCCAAAGAGATGCCTAAAATGATATGGATCCAATGTGGATCCACAGGTTTTTCTCTGGTGGTAGGTTATGAGAACAGCCCTTTATATTGTGGGAAGTGCTTTCATTTAGGTCATATTGATGTTGCTTGCTTTAAGACATCTAATCATGGGGATATGTGGATTACTAATACTGTTATTACGTCAGGAAAATGGATTCTCATGTCAACAAAACATTTATTTACAGGCCAGGAAGCTGGGAAACAAAATAATAAACTTCATGGTAACAAGATAACTTTAGCAAAAAGGAAAGAGCACGCTACTGCTCTGGTTTGCGTTCCATCATCTTCCAAGGGGCCAATCCAGGAGATAGGTTCTGATACTGAAACAGAAGAAGCTTATAATGAGACAAGACTGGTTGCTAAGGTTGACAAAGATATTATCACTACTGAGGAAGTTACCTTGGATGTTGATAATGCTGACTTAATTCATCAAGAAGGCCAAATTCAATATAATCCTGCAAAAGATGATCACCTTATTAATTTACTACACTTAGATGTCCCAGGACTTGACTGCTCTAAAAAATGCATACCCAGAAAGATACAGGATGATTTCCAGTTGCAGATTGTGCATAAAAGCTTAAACTATGATTCAGATATTGAGTCAAAGATGACATTTTCAGATGGTGAAGCCAAAAGAAATCCATAATCCTTACAACATTGGCAGGAAGGTTAGGAAGATATTAACCTTATAGTTGAAGCTATGGCCCAAAGGATAGCTCTGCATGAGGGTAGCAAGCAAGGGGAAGTTGCTATCCAAACAGATCTGGTTGAGAGATCACAAGGGGAAATTCCTCATCCTGATTCAGAAGACAATGAAGGCTTTATAACTTTTACAGGGAGGAAATCAAAAATGAAAAACAATTGTCCCAGAGTCACTAGAAATGCAGCCAGAAAGATAAAGCTGAATGTTCTATTAGCTCTTGAAGATCCTAGTATCAACAGGAAGTTGTCTTTGAATTCCCTTTCCACTTCTCAATGAATTGTCTAATTTTGAATGTTAGAGGTCTGGATGGCTCCCTTTCCAGACTTATTTCCCTGGTTAGGCAATATAAAATTAAAATCCTTTGTGTTATTAAGCCTATTGTTTGTTCTAGCAGAGCAGAATATTTCATGAAGGAGTAAGGTTTTGCTAAAGTTATCTATTCTACTCTTAATAAAATATGGGTCTTTTGGAACCCTATTTATTTTGATCTCTAATATTACTTGGCATAGCCAGTTGGTTCACTTTTATGTGAAAGGGGAATCTTACTCTCATTGGATGACAGCTACTTATGGGAAGCACAATCATATTGACAGAAGGGAGATGTGGTCTTTTCTTGATAATTTGGCTAATTCTATCTCTAAGCCTTGGATTATTGGAGGGGATTTTAATGTTATTGCCAAGCACAGTGAGCATATTGGTTCTGCAATTCCAAATTCTGGTAGCATTCTGGAATTTTCTGAGTGTATTTCTCATTGTAATTTGATTGATTTACCTGTTCAATGTCCCCTATTTACTTGGACTGGTATGAGGTCAGATGGAAGAGTTTGGAGAAGACTTGATAGATTTTTTGCCAATGCTAAATTCCTGGATAACTTTAATATTGTTCAGATTACTGTTTTAGAAAAAAACTCCTTCAGATCATAGCCCTTTATTGATGAATTGTAGAAAGGAGGATTGACAGGGTCTTAAATCTTTCAAATTTCAGAATATGTCGTTCTCTCATAACTCTTTTATGGAGGTTGTAAAGAACATTTGGAACAAACAAAAGTTTTGTGGTGGTATGAGAGGTCTGGTTGCTAAACTTAAATGTCTTAAGCATGATTTGAAAAAGTGGAATAAGACAGTTTTTGGCAATCTTTTTGAAGCTATTGCAAATTGGGAGGCTCAAGTTATGAAAGCTGAGAAAGACTTTGAAACTGACCCTAGTGAGGCCCTAGTGAGGTTAATAAGGAAAAGTGGTTTCATCATAGAGCTTTGCTTAAAGCTAAATACGAGTTGGAGAGAAAATATTGGAAGCAGAAAGCCCATATTAAATGGCTCAAAGAGGGTGATTGTAATTCCCATTTTTATCATTCTTTTGTAAAGATTAGACAGAGAAAACAACAGATTACTGCTATTCATAATAGTGCAGGTGTGCTGGTGAATACTTTATAGGAGATGGGAGAAGCTGTTGTTTCATATTTTTCTTATCTTTAATCTGTGGAAGAGCAGGTAGACTCTGCTAGTATCCTGCATTATATACCTACATTAGTAATTGAGGAGGACAATGTTATGCTTATTGAAGTGAAACAAGCTGTTTGGGGGTTGAATCAAAATGGAGCTCGAGGGCCAGATGGTTTCAATGACAAGTTCTTTAAGAAGTGTTGGGATATTGTGGACCCTGATGTGGTTGGTGCTGTTCAGGAGTTCTTTCTAGGTGTTCCTATCCCTAAAGGTGTGGCTAGTAGTCTTTTGGCTCTCATCCCCAAGGTGGACAATCATGCCACTTATGCTGATTTTAGACCTATATGTCTTTCCAACTTCGTCAACAAAGTGTGCACTAAAGTAGTTACTGCCAGATTAATTACTTTATTGCCCAAATTGATATCTAAAGAACATGCTGGTTTTATGAAGAACAAGGACATTGCTTATCAAATTCTTATTGCACAGGAGATGGTGCACTCTATTGATAAGAAGATTAGAGGTTCAAATGTCATTATTAAGCTTGATATGGATAAGGCTTTTGATAGACTATCTTGGGAGTTTTTAAAGGAGGTTCTTGACATATTTGGATTTGCTAAGCACTTTATTCAAATTGTGATCGATAATCTATCAACTACTTATTTCTCAGTTCTAATAAATGGGGTTCCTCGATGGTTTTTTCAGCCTAAAAGGGGTGTCAAGCAGGGTGACACCCTTTCTCCTTTTTTATTCATTCTTGCCTCAGAGGCTTTCTCTAGAGGGCTTAAAAGT